TTTGATTGCGTAGAAAAACAAGACATGAATGAAAAGAAAGAAAGATGTTTAAATGTCTCCTGTTAATACATCATATATAATGGACTATTCCGTTTTGATCACGTGGAAAGAGAGGAAGAGACACTAATTGGTTTCAGTGAGAAAGAAAGAAACAAATAAACAAAAGAAAAAGAAATAAAGAATGAAAGAAAGGGAAGATAATGGCTGTTTCGGTGAAATGGAAAAAAGTTGTCAATTTCAAATCTTTTCATCTGAATCCACTTCTTAAAATAACGACCATCATTCATATCTGTAGTTGTTATTGCAATATTTTGTTAAAGTTATTAAAGCTCAAATATTTAATGATGTGACAAAGGCGATTTCTACGGACATTTTAGTACTTGCCATGAGCTTTTAATTTTTTAATCATCTACGGAAGAATTAAGATTCATCAGAAAATTCAAATAAGTAAACCATGAAATTTTCTCGGGGCTTTCTAGCATATTTTATTCTGGAATAATCAGGGACTTGTGTTACAAACAGAGCAATCTAAATGTTAACCTAGTAACATATATCTTAAATATAGTAACATATATCTTAAATAATTAGAATAAAATAAATATCAAGGGAGATAAATAGAGATGTTTGAATCTTGATTTTAGCCCTCTTTTTAATCTAGCTTTATTGCCCAATCAATCCTGATTCCCTTCATGTGAAGAGAAAACCTTTTGAATATGACCCTACACGGTTGTTAGCCTAATCATTAAATTAAATTCTTTGAAATTTCCCTGAAATGCCCTGATTTTCTGACATTACATATCAATACTACAGACTGTTATGATAACAATCAACAGTATTGCTCTGCTAGGGCATAGATAGAAAGATAGATAAAGAAACACATTTTTATTCAAATTTTATTAATCCTAAAAAAATAAATAAATAACATTTAGCATTTATTTTCAAAGAATTCTTTTCTTTCTATGTACCGAAGGCGATAATGGCTCTCCACCTCCCTCTATTCCTTGTAGCTCTTAACAAGTTCCTTCCAACTGCCACCTCCCTCAGAACACGTTCTGCCATCTACTTGCTTATCTGAAAAATAGGAAAACCTTGAAATTTTCATGGGTCTAGTAATTAAAATTATATTTGATATCCTATCGCCTTTTAGATGTTTTAGTGAGGTGGTGATGATTATATCTCAGCAGCTTATAGATACTATATTTTTTTCAGCACATGAGCTGTCCCAAGCATTTTTGCTCCCCTGCGTAATCCCAGTAATGACAGCTATCCTCAAGACTAAAGTGTCCTGTGGCAAAAATATTCCTGGAAATTGTCCCGATTTCGTGAACTAAAAAAAAGAGGACAACTTGAGATGTGCATCTTATATTTTTCTGATTTGCTCCGCTAGATCTTGGTACCTCTGTATGTTCACCTAAATACACATAGGTTACACAACTGTTAGATTATCGCATCGTTTAACTTGCCCTTGCTTTTTATCCGATAATAGTTCAATTAAATCGCATATCACCAACCAACACACCAAGAAATTCGACAAATCCAAACCAATATCGCTAAAGTATTGCACACACACACACACATATATATATATATATATTGAGCTTTCTTGAGAAAAGGGTGATTATAAAAATAGTGGCTCATACCGCTATTAACGCATCGCTCTTCAACCGGGCCATTTACGTATTTTGCATAGAAAACGTTAAATTTTCCCTTGCTTTCTGCCGTGCGACGATAGCCTAGGGGTAGATTCTCTGACAGATAACAAATCTCATAGGAAAAAGGCTCGTAGGCTGATTATGTAGAATTGATTCTAGAGGTGTGAAATCTTGCAGACATTAATTTCAATTTTTCTTATTAATAACTGCATTGTTTCTTACTGACATCTGATTATTCAAACATACATATATATATATATATATATATATATATATATATATATATATATATATATATATAGTGAAAAAGAAACACTGGCATACCTACTTGGAGAAATCTAGATTAATAAAGTCCATCACTTCTTTAGAGATTGATATGTGATAATTGAAATGTAATAATTGAGGTAAATATATTCTTGTTAAAATTTTACGAATGTATCACACACCGGTACATATTATAGTAGAAGAAATACTAGACAGATAGATACGAACGGACTGAGATAGATAGATAGATAGATAGATAGATAGATAGATAGATAGATAGATAGATAGATAGATATGAACAAACTGCGATAGATAGATAGATAGATAGATAGATAGATAGATAGATAGATAGATAGATAGATATGAACAGACTGAGATAGATATATAGATATGAACAGACTGTGATAGATAGATAGATAGATAGATAGATAGATAGATAGATAGATAGATAGATAGATAGATGGATAGATATGAACAGACTGCGATAGATAGATAGATAGATAGATAGATAGATAGATAGATAGATAGAATAGATAGATGAACATATGAACAGACTAGATGATAGATAGATAGATAGATAGATAGATAGATAGATAGATAGATAGATATGAACAGACATAGATAGATAGATAGATAGATAGATAGATAGATAGATAGATGAATAGATATGATAGATAGATAGATATGAACAGACTGAGATAGATATATAGATATGAACAGACTGTGATAGATAGATAGATAGATAGATAGATAGATAGATAGATAGATATGAACAGACTGCGATAGATAGATAGATAGATAGATAGATAGATAGATAGATAGATAGATAGATAGATAGATATGAACAGACTGTGATAGATAGATAGATAGATAGATAGATAGATAGATAGATAGATAGATAGATAGATAATGACTGACATAGAGAGAAAGAAAAAAGATTTAAAAAAAACCTAATTCCTTTGGTAAATGACAATTGCCATGAGGCAAAACAGCAATTATACAAATATAATTTCCCACTGTAAGGTTTTACCTTTTACGTTTGACATTAACTTCTTCTAAATAGATAATGACGGATGACTTCTTTCTGAAAATACAAAGCCTTTCACTGATCTTTTTTTTTATCCCTAACAAATAGTCTTATAGGAAAAAAAAACAACAAAAAAAAACAATAAAAAAACAATAAAAATGTAGGAGACAAATCAAAACTAAGAGGCTTAGATGCTTGATCTTTCACATGCGACAAAAATCCTTTTTAGTAAACTCAAGTGGAAACAAAGACATACGCGTGTGGAAGATGCGGCAGTGTACGATGTCGTGTGTGTGTGAACATATGTGCGGAGGTGCGTATTTTTAAAAACAACTTCGCATATGTATGTGAAGACGACAGGTGTCGATATACGCATGCTTGTGTGTTTATGTGTATACGTACACGATCATTAATTTGTGTGTGTGTAAATTTCTTTTTTGTTATACTTGTGAATGTATGAACTTTGTACTTATGTGTATGCATTTACAGTTGCGTGTACATATGTATATATGCATGTTATGACTTTGTTGTATACATATGTAGATCTTCATAAAACTTGCGTGTGTAATCTACATTTTCGCTTGTCATGCGAAATTATATATCTATGTATTCACAAATATTTAAACCCATGAACGTATGCTCATTTAAGTTTACCTTATTTAAAATTAATCATTCATACAAAAAGTAGATTAGTAAAGTTAATGATATAAAATGGTGAAAACTCTTCACAAACAAAATTTTAAAGTTACATTAACCTACGAACCACTCAATGAATTTTATGATCCTTGTTTTTAATAACTACAAGTTGTATAAGGTCTTTTTTAATCTGCTAGTACTTTCAACTGTACACACAGTCATCCTCAGGCATGGGAATTATTTGGTTTTTAGTAAATCCAGGTAGCATCAGAGACGAAAGATTAAATGCGAATCGAAATATGTTTTTTTTTCTTTTTAGAAATGTTTTATTGTTAACGGATAAAAACTTTTGGAGCGTGCAGTCGCAACGCTAAGATTGAATTTTTTTTTTGAAAATTTAAGAGAGTGCGTTTTTTACTAACATAGTAATTTGAGAATTTTTATGTTGTAGGAGTTTATCAGTCAATGTGGCATGAACTAAATTGTTCAATAAATAGAGTAATGTCTCAGTTGTTATCCCGAAAATTTGCACTTCGGATCAGTTCTTTTTAAATCAAATGCAGTTCAATTTATATTAAAATGAATCATTCATACAAAAAGTAGATTAGTAAAGTTAATGATATAAAATGGCGAAAACTCTTCGCACACAAAATTTTAAAATTGCATTAACCTACGAACCACTCGATGAATGTTATGATCCTTTTTTTAATAACTATATATATATATATATATATATATAGAGAGAGAGAGAGAGAGAGAGATAGATAGATAGATATGGCTATATTTAATTTATTTTGTTTAAACTTTTCAGCCAACTATATCTACCGGTCTGAAGAAATCTTAATAGAAAAATATGCGTCCAACGGCATATATTTTTCTGATAAAAATTTCTCGAATATTTTGGCCAGTAAATGTACTAATAAAAAAATAATGATAGATAAAATAATTTCATTTAATTAAAAAAGAGCTTCTACTCGAATATGAGTATGAATAAAAAAAGTTTAAACAAAATAAATTAAAAATAACAATATGTCGGATTTAATCCATTTTAAAATAGATATATTATAATTAATGTAATTACCCGTTCCCACACACAGCATCATAAAAGTTGCTAATCAATACACAAAAAAAGTGGGACATATTTTTTTTATTGGAAATTTTATTATGACAGAAAAACAACATTTTATGATTAAATTTTGCTCTCGTCAAAATATCCTCCTTTAGCCTTGGTTACTGCAGCACAAATTTTTGGCATTCGTTGCAAAAGTTTCTCAAAGTAAAAGTTTGATAATTCCCTCCATTCTTTTTTCCATGTCTCTAAGAAGTCTTTTTTTTTCATTTTTTTTTTTTTCACTGTTCTTTCAAGTCCATTCCATGTTAATTCTGGGAGTCGTTTCAAATATTTGAACTGTAGAGTATATTTAAAAATGGTCATAGATAGATAGATAGATAGATAGATAGATAGATAGATAGATAGATAGAAACAAAATAAGATAGATATGAACAGAGTGAAATAGATAGATTGAACTGTAGTGTATATATACGAATGGGCATAGATAGATAGATAGATAGATAGATAGATAGATAGATAGAGAGAGAGAGAGAATGTAAACAGAATAAGATAGATATGAACAGAGTGAAATAGATAGATAGATTGAACTGTAGTGTGTATATACAAATGGACATAGATAGATAGATAGATAGATAGATAGATAATCAGCCAGCAATCCGATTATGGATGTATGATTTTTCAATAACTTCTTGTCTAGGTAAGTACATTGATGGAAATTATATCCATTTGTATGTGTGCGTTTGTCTGTGTGTATGTGAAAGAGAGAGAGAGAGAGAGAGAGAAAGAAACTGTGTATGAGTGTGTGCGCGTGCGTGTGCGTGTGTGTGTGTATTATATTTTTAAATATTTGTCTTCATTATAAGTGTATATTTGAAGTGGTGTCATCTTCGATCGTCGTTAATAAACCAATTCTAAAAAAATACATTTTTTAAATTGGTGTTGAAATTTTTTTAACTTCATCTACAAATAACTTTAAAAAATTGTCTTTACTATAAGTCAAATATATAATTTCAAAGAATTGCATTGGAATAATATTAAAAATTTAAAACGTTTAAAAAGTTTTAATTGGATAAGTTACCGTCATATAATTATTTCCATATATAAAAAAATGATAAATTGTATGACTTTTCTTATATATATTCATGAAGTCATTTACAAGAAGAGAATGAAGCGACATAAATATTTTTAATACAAAACTATCAAAAAACTTTTACTCAAACTAGAAAAGAACAGAATTTATTTTTATAATAACTGCAGTTACAAAAGTTCACTTTATCATATTTCTTTCATTTATAACATTTTTTGAAATATAAAAAATATGACGTTTATTGTAGTCATAACTTAATTTTGTACTATTGAAATAACCATATATTCATATATTTTTTATCTTAAAACCTAAATATCCTAAAGGTACGCAATTTCACTTGTAGAAATAAGAGAATTTAGAAATCTAAAAGATATAAGTGGACTCATTAAATACGATTTATCATTAACGACGATATATTGAGATATATTTAAAAGTTTATATTCGGTAAGATTGTTCTGTATAGTATTTGGTTTGTTGGTGAATACAAAAAACAATAAAATTCTCCACCTAAATTTTTCAGTGATCATATTTAATGTTTATAAAACCCACAACACTCTAGACATCAAATTCAAATGTTATTATATTTAATTTTTAACTAGATAATTTTATTTTGCTATATGAGATATTTTTACAACCTATGGTCAAATATCTAGCTTTGCAGTACCCAAAATGATGCATGTATATATATATATATATATATATATATATATATATATATATATATATATATATGTGTGTGTGTGTGTGTGTGTGTGTGTATTTATATATATTTTTATCATATAGACAAAATTATTTTACTCACTACAAACATGCAACTTGGTTTCAGTGCATTTCAACTGCACTTCGACGGGTGAGAATCGAAAATGGTTATGAACAATCCTGCTTGTAGGCAAGCTGTATGTTAATGCACTGAAACCAAGTTGCATCTTTGTAGTGAGTAAAATGGTTTTGTCTATATGATAAAATTATAATAAATAAATAATTATCGCTTTACTATCGGTATGGAGCCCTCTTTTGGATTAATGCTGTGAACGTTGGAATTTATATATTACTTTCGTTCTCATTGCATCGGATATATATATATATATATATGTGTGTGTGTGTGTGTTTGTGTGTATGTGGTATAACTAGATTATTTTTCGGAACAATCAATCGTTGAAGGGTGTATTAATGTGGTGTAGCGGATCCTTGTAAAATCAATGATAATTAAAAAGAATGTACGTAACCTTGAAAATGCAAACGAATATTTATATGTCTATATATTCTTGTGTATTGATAATTTGGTATATATATATATATATATATACAGAGATACATACGTACATACATATATATACATATATATTTAATATATATTTATATATATCGTAAAATTTGGTTTATTTACATGGGGAATTTCTCAATATCGAGAATCAACCGTCTGTGGGTATGGACAGTTTCAAAATAGAAATTATTTCTGAAAGATGACTGGCACTTTCACTCTTTAAGCCATAATCCGACCATTAGTTTCATGCTTTTGCAATCATCAGATATTCAGCCGGCGTCATGATCGCACAAGTTGTGAAACTTCCAGTTATTATGCAGTGTTGAAATCTATCTCCATAGTACTTCTCTCTCTCTCTCCCTATCTCAATCTCTCTCTCTCTCTCTCTCTCTATCTATATATATATATATATATATATATATATATATATATATGAATGTATGTATGTGTGGAGTGTACGTAAGTGTATAATTACATGCCTTTCTAGCTTACCCTACCTTAAAACGATTTAGCTTAACAATGGCGTGTGCTGTCTTCTATTAGGTTAAAACTGACGTCAACAGCAAACCCAAACCAATGTTTGGGTCAATTATTCATGTCAATGGCTTACAATCATAGATCGTTGGTAACATCGCTTTCCGATTTATCATCAAAGTTAAACAATGTTAATCCTACCTTGTACTGAATGGGTAACCAACGCAAATGGTTGGTCTTTGTAATGTTAAGAAAATAGATTCTTATTGTAGAACTTAGTATGTGCGGTTCACGGCTGATAAGCAAAGCATTATTCATTTTTTATACTAAAAATTATATAGTGCAAGGCTCAAGAGTCACTCAATGTAGAGCGTCAAAGTTGAAATAGTAAAGGCGAATGAGGTTTGCGTTATACACAGAAAAGAACTTGGTAGGAAGTAGAGATTGGATAGATAACGATTGACCGTTGACTTAAAAAGTCAAGATTAAATTGTTCAAGGTACACTCAAAATTAAATCGGTTCCATAAAATGGCGATTGTTTTTTAAAGACTGCCCGGACAGAAGTTTCTTTTTTCCCTTGGAACATGGGAGACATGAGGACAATATAAGACACTATCGCGTCCCCTAGCTGTAAAGGTATTAAATAAATAATGTAGATTGTCTGAAGATTTGCCATAAAAATAACTACAGAAGTAGCGACAGACTCGCTGTAGTGTGTTTGCGAAAAAGAAGCTAGTGTTTGGAAAATAGGTTTCCCCGACAAGAATGGTTATGAGTTTTGCAAATGCTATTGTTATTTTTCCCACCATAACTTGCTTTCATTCATTTTATTTTCCTATGTCAAATCACAATACTTAATTTTATTTCATCATTTCCCCTACATTCAAACCTAACTCATCTTTTCATTGAAATGCTTTTAAATTTTATTAACAGTTAATTTTTTCCACATTTCAGCTATGTTTTAATAATGCTCTCGTAAAATAAATGAAAACCCAAAAATAAAACAAATAACTTAAATGTTCAACTTATTTTTACTTATTGCGTAATGAATATTTTATTCGGATATTTCATATCAATTATTTACCATTTCTTTTATATATGATGATTTTCTAAGCGTAGCTTGGATGTGGCACGAGGTCAGAAAGATCGAACTCATAATTCAGTCGTAATTGATATAGCGAGACAAGCAAGCTGACTATTACACCATGGTGAAGTTCCCATTTCCTTTATATATGTATATCATACTTATTATAAAACCCAGGTTGTGTGTGTGTGTGTGTGTGTGTACGTTTATATATTGGATCGGATTTTCTACATTTTTCAACCGATTTCAACAAAACTTCACAGTACTACGTAAAATTACCTTGAGGTGGTTCTGACAGCGCCAAAAATGGGAAAAACACAATTCTTTTTGCACGAAATCAATTTGAAAACACGATTAAGAGGCATCGCGAGAATGAAAGGGGGACAACTCATATCGAGTTATACTTAAAACCCAGGTTGTTTGTGAGTGTTCATTTATATATGGGATCAGATTTCCTACATTTTTCAACCGATTTCAACAAAATTTCACTTTTTTTTGGCAGGTAGTGTTTCTTATTGTCTTGCATATTTTTTCTTTATTTTTACATTCAGAATGCTTTAAAAATTCCATTTAAAAGACAATTGTTTATAATAAAATTCTATTCAATCGGTAGACTCATAACGATTGAAAACAATGTTTTTGTTTGAGTTTGGGTTTGACCCATTTGTAAAAAAAAAACAAAGAACAAAAAAAAAAAAAAACAACTAATTAAGACATACGTGTCCATCAATCTTAAACAATAATCTTTGTCAATTTTATTTTTCAGTCTTTATGATGGTCGATACTTGATCTCTCTCTTACTGTTACATCCCCAGGCAACGCTGGGCTCTACTGCTAGTTTAATTATATACTTAATTATATATTTGACCGACAATTCTTTGTGGCCAATTCGGTAAGGCGTGCCGGGCAAAACGGAAAATAAATACATACGCAGTCTAATAAATAAATGGTGCGCCTACTCAAATACTAGTATCCACTGAAAAATAAGATTTAAACTGATAAAAATATTTGACTTAACAAATAAAACTTATGAAATATGTTTAAAAATATAGTTGTATACAGTGTGCCACCAAGGTTAAATGTTTGAAAATCTCTCGGATATGTTAGATAGTAATAGAAAATTTTCCTTTTTTCGCATATACGTAATATGCTTGTAAAATCTATTTTCAGAATATTAACTTAAAGAAAAAGTAAAGAAACTTTTAAGTTTAACTGGAGTTCTTCTAGTATCCCTAATGTTTTTCCCTTCTGCTTTTCTTTAAAAAATGCCTTTAGACATTTCATATTATATTTCAGTTTCTATTAATTTTCATTTTTTTTTCCGTTTGTTTTCTTGAATCGATTAACAGAAATGTGAATTATTATCTCTTTTTTTAAAAAAGGAAGTTAAGATTTAGATTAATCGATTAATCCTAATATAAAACTTTTAAAAGAAAATCTTACATTTTGGAAATGTGAAACAGTCACCGAATGCATGTAAAATTTCAGATATACGTAATAATTTATCATACGTATTGGTTATGCACAGAAATAACCACAACTTCGATCCATAGAATGCCACATCGATTAAAAGAGAAAATAACTTAATTAGACGGAAAGTTCTTAAGTGTGCCGCTATCGTATCTTACCAAAATATTCGCTTGCAACCTGGATTTTATTAATATCTTCTTTCCTAAAACAAAGTCTCTTCCTCAAGCCAACATGCATGACCTAATTTTTTTTTTTTAAATTAAAGAAAACGGTTAAAAGCAACACTTACTATTATTTTAAATAAATAAATGCA